TATGTGCCATCGAGTCGGACCTGACTCACAGCGACCCCTCCTTGGGTTTCCGAGGCAGTATCACTACGGAAGTAGATTGCCCAATCTTCCTTACCAGGAGTGGCTGGTGGGTTTGAACCCCCAGCTTTCCGGTTAGCAGTCAGGTGCCTTAGGCTATCAGTGCGAAGGCTCAGAAAATAGGCAAGAACCAAGGGGAGCCTGATGGTCAGAAACATGGCCAAGATCATGCTACACACTGGTTAGGGCCTTTCTTTTGGCACTACCACTCCTGGGCACCCCCCATGCCTACAGCCTCCTGACTACAGCACTGCCATCAAAAGGGTCATCTTTTATTTTCACTGACCCTCTACTTTACCAAGCATTGCCCTTCTCTAGTGACTGATCCCTGCTGATACCATGTCCAAAGTATGTGAGACTAAGTCTTGCCATCCTGGCTTCAAAAGAGCATTCTACCTGTACTTCTCCCAAGACAGTTTTGTTCATTCTCCTGGCAGTCCTTGGTATCTTCAATATTCTTCACCAACATTATAATTCAAAGAAATCAATTCTTCTCCAGTGTTCCATATTCATTGTCTAGGTTTCACATGGATATGAGGCTACTGAAAATACCATGGTTTGAGTCAGCTGCACCTTAGTGTGTAAAGTGACATCTTTGCTTTTCAATACTTTCAAGAAGTCTTTTGCAGCAGATTTGCCCAGTGCAATACATCATTTGATTTCTTGTTATTGGAACACCCTTCTAATCACCAGAGGCCAATACAAATTCCATTTGCCTCAAAGAGTCTCTTATCTTCCCCAACCAAAACCAAACCAAACTCACTGCCACTGAGTTGATTCCACTCATAGTGACCCCTCCTTGGGTTTCTGAGGCAGCATCTCTACGGAAGTAGATTGCCCAATCATCCGAGGAGTGGCTCGTGGGTTTGAACCGCCAGCCTTCTGGTCAGCAGTCAAATGCCTTAGGCATTACACCACCAGAGCTCCCTCTATCTTTCCCAGCCAGAATTAATCTCTAGTCCCTATTGTGTAGAATTGCCCAATCTTCTCCTCCTCCTTGGAGAAGTTACCCCACCTACCAGCAACACAGGTGGGGCAAGTCTTCTTCTTCTTCCCTGTGACCCACTCCCTTGGGCATAAGCCACTGGATTATCAGTGTGCCCATTAGGATTTATCTCCCAGCACTTGAGCAGTCTACATTGGGACCAGAAGCCAAAAGAACTGGAAGCCGTAGAATTTGTGTATGGAGCTGGAGCCCTCCAGAGCTGCCTAAATTGCTACATGCCGAGGCTGTGGGAGGAACAAGAACCAAGAGCCTTGTGAAGGAGAATGGCACTGAGCAGTAGAGAGAGACAAGATGCAGAGACATGGCACTGGAGTGGGGGTGGGGGGAGGGACAGAGAAACTAGCCTCTCACTCCCCAGTCTCTGTGAGAGCCCCAGCTGGCCATCTTGTAGCTGAGCTGTTTCTAGAGATGCCCCAGTATCCTTAATGTGAATCCAATTTCACTTAAACTAGTCCAAGGTAGTTTCTGTTCCTTGCAACCAAATATCCCTGCTCCTGAACCAGAAGGCTCTGTCCACTTCATACATCATGTGAGTCTCTGATATATATCTGATATATATCATCATAGTATATAGGTGTGTGTCTGACTTTACCTGGCCTAGGCACCTCCAAGGGCAGGATTCTGCTGCTCATTCAGTATCGCCTGAGCCTGTCACATACTGTTGTTGTTGTTGTTGTTTGCCATCGAGCCGGCCCCGACTCATAGTGAACCCTCTTGGGTTTCCAAGGCAGTATCACTACAGAAGTAGGATTGCCCAACCTTCCTTCCAAGGAGTGGCTGGTTGGTTTGAACCACCAGCCTTCTGGTTAGCAGACGAGTGCCTTAGGCACTATGCTACCAGAGCTCCGAGATGCTCCAAACAGTTGCTGAATTTGAAGTTTGACAATTCACACAATGGTTTGATATGTTACTTGTTAGCAAACACTCTAAACTTCTCTCTGCTCTTCACCATGTTTTGCCGTATTTGCATTATTTTATATCATTTTTTTATCACATTGGTTTCCATTCTAGTCACATTATGCACATTCACATGCTTGGGCGTTCTTGTCCTGTTTGGTGGTCACCAGGAAGGATTTAGAGGTTAGCAGCACAAGTGGTCCAAGCCTCTCTCTAGTTGGTGAGAATGTAGTCTTACTGGCAACCCACTTCCAGTATCCAATAACCTTCACCCTTGAAATGGATACTTCCTGTGAAGTCTGTTGGGGCAGGTTAATTTCAATGATGTCATTTAAAGCACATTAAAAAGTCAGCAGGCAGGCAAAGTGCAACTGCTTCCCTCAGAAACCTCCTCAGAATCCTAGATTTTCAGAGCCAGGGTCTTTCAAGTTTCTATGGACAGCATAATATTTTAAAATGTATACATGGAGTTGTCAAATCTATACTCTCCCCCAGGAAGGCCATTGAAAACAATACACTTCTATGAACATGGCATCATTCCATAAAATAAAAGGCAAATTAATACCTAAAGTTATCAAGAATATTACCTTCTAATTTGAACATCGAATACATTTGACCTTATGAAGAACTCAGGATATTTTTATTTTTAAATGATATAAGGCACAAAAAAGGGCTTAACATTGAGCCAGCCCCACGGTAACTTCTTTACAAATATTATTATTATTTTAAGGATTTAAGGTTAGCCATTGTAACACGGGGAAAGAAGAATTTTTGCTTACATTCGCATATTGTTAGCTAAGCACCTTCTTAGTCTTAGAATGGGCTGCTCAGAGCACATGTTTTCCTGGGGAGCTGAATGGGTCTATAATGGATTGAAAAGGTTTGGGATTCCTAGAGCTAATCTGAAGAGTGAGGAGGAGAGAAGAGGAGGGGAGGAGGGAGGGGGAGGAGCCTTTGAGATGGTGTGGGAGGCTGAGGACTCATTCCCATGAAGACCACCACTTCCCTTGTAGAGGTGGAAGGTGGCTGGAAAATGCTTTGAGACCCAGGATGGGTCCGACACAGTGTGATGCTTTTGTAGCTCAGTGATGTGAGCACTTCCTCCTTTGTTCTCTGCCCAGTGTCTGTAACAGCTACATGCAATGATGCGTGACGTTATGAATACATTTTTTGGAGGAAATAGAGGAAGAGTATACTTGCCCTATTTGAGTCCACACAGCATAAAACCGAGACAGCAACCCAGAAGCAGAGGCCTGGGGCCAGAGGTGACTAGGACAGAAATTGCCTGGAATTCCCAGAAAACCTGACAGGGCTTTGGATTTCCACAGCACTTGGCATGTGGGGTTTGGGCCTGGTTCCTCAGGCGCCTGCCTTATGTTTGTAGGCAATGGAGACATTCTGGTCTCACAGCTGGGTATGAGGTCCCAAAAAGATGGGTCTGGTTCCAAAATGCTGCACCAGCCCCAGCTGCGGCAGAACTCACTTTTTGTTCTGGAATCACCAAGAGTCAAGAGAATCACTGGCTTGGAGATCTTCCAGAACTAGAGAGGAGCCCTCTTCTGGGCCCTCAGGGCCAGAAAGAATCAGCCAGACTTCTAAGTATGTAACATCTGACCCCTGTAGGACTAGGGGTAGAACTGTCCATTAGGTTGAAAGGACTTAAGTATTTATGATGTAACAACCAAGTAGCCAGAGGGTGTGAGGGGTGTGTGTGACAGTGTTGCCTGGCAACCTGACTTCATTGCCTGCATGACTTCAGTCAAGTAGTTATTCTAACCTTCCCCCTCCCCACTCCTTTCTCCTGTGCACTGCGGACCAATAAGCCTACTTTAACCCTAACAAACTCCAGTGGTCCAGAGTAGTCACCTGGAGCTTAGGCATTGATTGTTAGACAAGCCAGACTCCACTGTGTAATGCCAGGCAACTTCCTTAGCCTCTCTGTGCCAGTGTTCACATTTTACCATAAAATGAGTAAAAACAAACAAAAAAACCTGTTGTCATGGAATGTATTCTGCCTCGTAAGACCCAACACGACAGAGTAGAACTGCCCACAGGATTCCCAAGGCTGTGGAAGCAGAACCCAGGTATTTTTCCAGAACAGCAGCTGGTGGGTTGGTACCAATGGCTTTTCGGTTAGTAGCCAAGTGCTTAACCACTGCGCCACCAGAGCTCCTCCTGTCAAGTGGGTGGGGGCTAACAATAACCGCCTCTGAGACCGGCTAAATGTGTAATACACACAGAGACTTAGCACACCATTACAGTTTAACAATGTGCCACTGTTCATCTTCCAATCATCTGGGAAATTGGTCTCACCCGTCATTCCTGGCCCTGGCTCTTTGACTTACTTCCTTTTTAAAATCTTGAATACCCACCTAGTGCTAAACTAAGTCCGCATTTTACGCCTTTTTTCTCTGCTCCTCCTTTTCCCCACCGCCCACCCTCCAGAACGCGGAGCGTCAGCAGGTCGGATTGATGGTCAGCGATGGCTGTTTCCGAGGCGGTCCTCTCTTGTCCTCGGCTTCGGACGTCTCCAGATCCTCTGCGGCGCTGCCCTGCAGGGAAAGACGCCGCCAGCCCATCTCTCACGGGCGCGATGGGCAGAACCACACTGCAGCAGAGGTAACAGACTATGGCCAATGAAGGGAGATGGGCGCACCAGGAAATAACGGAATTAACAGGATCATTAATGCTCCTAGTCGACTGCGCTAGGTCTGATCTTCTAACCAGTGCCCCCAGTTATCCTCCTTGACCCTCATGGCTGCTCTAAAAGTGACAGCCACGTGGATAGTCGCGCGCAGCGGGAGAATAGAATGTTGGCGTTGGGGGGCGGGGCTGGAAGGGCGCCCCAGAGGTGAGGAAGGACCCGCGTGCGTGCGCCCGGGCGCCGGCTGCCAGGTGACGCCGCCGGGAGCGAGCCCGCACCTGACGTCACGCTCAACTCTTCCAATGAGCGCAGGCCGGAGGGAGGTGCAGATCCCGCCCCCTCCCGCCCCCGCCCCCGCCGCCGCCGCGGCCCCCGCCACCATACCATCCGCCTCGGGGAGCGTCTGAAGAGGCGCGGGCCGCCGCAGGCTGAGGCGCTGCACCTCGCTGGCCGGGGCAGCCGGACGAGGCCCAGGGAGCCACTCGCCCCGACCCCACCGCCCGATGTCCTCAAGATGGAGGCAGCTAGGGAGGCGGCGTGAAGAAAGCGGCGCTGTCGGCGCGGGAGCAGGGGCCCCGGCCGCCCGGGCGGAGGCGGTGGCGGGATGGGGCTGCTGCTTATGATCCTGGCGTCGGCCGTGCTGGGCTCCTTCCTCACGCTGCTCACCCAGTTCCTGCTGCTTTACCGCAAATACCCGGAGCCGCCTCCGGACGAGGCCGCCAGCGCGGGCGATGGCTTCCGCTACATCAAGCCGGTGCCGGGCCTGCCCCTGAGAGAGTACCTCTATGGCGGCGGCGGGGCTGAGGAGCCTTCCGGCGGGCCCCCAGAGGGCGGCGCAGCCCCAACCCCCGAGACCCCCGCCCCGCCGACGCGGGAGACCTGCTACTTCCTCAACGCCACCATCCTGTTCCTGTTCCGGGAGCTGCGGGACACGGCGCTGGCCCGCCGCTGGGTCACCAAGAAGATCAAGGTGGAGTTCGAAGAGTTGCTGCAGACCAAGACGGCCGGGCGCCTGCTGGAGGGGCTGAGCCTGCGGGACGTGTTCCTCGGGGACACCGTGCCCTTCATCAAGACCATCCGGCTGCTGCGGCCCGTCGTGCCCTCGGCCACCGGGGAGCCGGACGGCGCCGACGGCGAGTCGCTGCCCGCCGCCTCGCCCGAGGAGCTGGCGTTCGAGGCGGAGGTGGAGTACCACGGGGGCTTCCACCTGGCCATCGACGTGGACCTGGTCTTCGGCAAGTCCGCCTACCTGTTCGTCAAGCTGTCCCGCGTGGTGGGGCGGCTGCGCTTCGTCCTCACTCGCGTGCCCTTCACCCACTGGTTCTTCTCCTTCGTGGACGACCCGCTCATCGACTTCGAGGTGCGCTCGCAGTTCGAAGGGCGGCCCATGCCTCAGCTGACCTCCATCATCGTCAACCAGCTGAAGAAAATCATCAAGCGTAAGCACACCCTCCCGAGTTACAAGATCAGGTGAGAGGGCGGCCGAGGGGTTCGGCTGCAGGGGCTCGGGGGACGGGGTGGCCCTGGCGGCGGCGGCTGCTGCCTGCGTCAAGCTGGGAGCGCAGAGGCTCTGATTTTCAGGATCGCCCCAAAGCCGGACGGGGCTCCAGATCACGCCAAGTCTCGTTAGTCGCCCTGGAGTGGCTGCCGACCCCACGTATGCAGTGTGCACGGTAGAACTGTGCTCCACAGGAGTTTCGGGGCTGTGGTCGTTCAGAAGCTGGTCGCCAGGCCTTACTTCGGAGCCACCTCTGGGTAGGTTTGAACCGGGATCACCCTTTCCGCTAGGGGTGGAGCGCTTGAAAACAAGTAGCAGACACGTCATTTACTTACAAATGGCATTAATATCAACTAGAAAGCTGCTCGTGTGCTCCTGGCACTGACCAGCTCCTTATACTGCAAATGGGAGAGAAGTCCACCCTAAGCCACAGGAGTCGGCTGTGGGACTGTTGAAACTGTTTCTGAATGGGGTTGTTGCATTAGAGCAGCCTGTCATTGGCTTTGCAGCGTCTTCGTGGCCACATTGAGAAACGGTTTCTTGGACACACAGTACAGGCGTGAAGAGTGTGCTTAGTGCCCAGGTGTGTTAGATTTTGCAGTTGCAGGCCACTGTTGCCCTGCTTCTTGGGCAACTGTCAGGGCAGTAGTAGTAGCTAGTGTAAGGGAGTCCTTTTAAACAGCAAACTGGAAAAGGAGTTGGGCGCCTGGACATACCGTACTTCTTTAGACAGTTTGTCTTAATGCCAGCTGCCCATTTTGGATAGGTTCTGTAGAACAGACCCAGCTTCTGTTCCTAAAGGGTTTCTTCTCACCTGAAATCATCCTGCGGCTACATTTTAAAGATAACTGGTGATTTTAACTCTTTATACCACTCACATCTGACGGCTTCACTTTATGGAGTGTTTTGATCATTGTACTGTTTTGAGTATGCCCAAGTCTTCTTTTAAAAAGATTTTCAAAGGGGAAAAGTAGTTTTGTGGGGGTGAGAGGCTTCGTCCACACTGGTCTGGGAAGGCTTGCTGCATTGGCAGGTGGTCATGAGTGGTCACACGCGCCTGTTTCTTCTAAAACAGCTTAATTTTCACTTTCTGTCCTCTTCTACTTTTGTCTTCATTAAAATGTGTGACCCTTTTGGATTTTGTTTTAATATAAAATTATGTCAGTCTTGGATTTGCCTACCTAATGCCCTTTGAAGGCGCTCTGGTGGTACAGTGGTCAAGGCATTTGACAGCTAACTAAAAAGGTTGGCAGTTTGAACCCACCAGCTGCTGGTAGGAGAAAGGTGAGGCAATATGCTTCCATAAAGATGTACAGCTTTGGAAACCCTGTGGGGCAGTTTACCTCTGTCCTGTAGTGTCACTGTGAGCCAGAATTGACCCCATGGCAGTGGGTTGGGTTGGGTTTGGAATGCCATTTGATGGAAGTTGCTTAGTTCTGGGTCCCTCCTTTTCTAGCACAGCCTCAAGCATCAGATAAACTAGAGATACTTTATGTTTCAGTTTGGAATGGATGATTTGTTTATGTGGCGTGCTTACCTTACTAATTACGTTATGCTAAGGCTAAAAGCACAGAGTGACAGCTTAAAAATGTTGGGTGACAGGAGAAATTTAGTTTGTAATGGAAGTATTTTCATATATTTACAGAAGTTGGTGAACTGGCTGTTAACTGTGTTTGATTGCCTGTTCTTTGTAGTAGAACAGAATTTATTAAACCTACTCTGTAAGCTCTGGAATAAATAAGGGACTAAATTATAAATGACCTATAGTGTTTAAGCAGTGAGATGTTTGTTTATGCCAGTGGGTTGGAAAGAAAGTCATGAGAAAAATGTTGTTACAGATTTTGATATTCTGTCACAATGTTGGGAGCTATGGTAGCTTAGTGCCTAAGGCACTTGACTGCTAACCAGAAGGCAGGCAGTTCAAACCTATCAGCCACTCCTCGGAAGGAAGGTTGGGCAATCTACTTCCGCAGTGATACTGCCTCAGAAACCTTAAGGTGGTGGGGTCACTATAAGTTGGGTCGGACTTGACGGCACATAACAACAACAACAGTACCACAGTGTTGATCCTGATGTTTTCTGGGTAGCTTTTGGGTAGGAAAATTTGACTGTGTTATTGCTCTTGATGTTAATTACAAAACAGCTAGTGACGATAAGGTTGCATATCATTTTGAGATTTATATTTTTAATAAAATTAATTTTCATATTTCAGTTAAATCTGAAAGAAATTATAAATAAGAGCTATGGAGCCCTTGAGAAGTTTATTTGACAGTTTTATCATCTATATCATTGAAGACCATTGCTATTTAAAGTCTAGCAAACTTGCTTTTTGTTTATTATATCTCAAGAGATTAAAAAAAAGAAAGCATGAGTTTAGCTCTACTTTAACTTCTAAACTTTAAGCATTAAAACATTAGTTCTAGAAATGTACATTTCATCTCAGTGGTCAACCAGTGAATACTGCATCATTCAACCTTCCAGTATTTAATGTGTACCTGCTGAGTGCCTATCATTGTTGTGGATGCTGAGGCTTCAATGTTAAGTGAAAATAGACTGCCTCAACCCTCATGGAGCTTAGAGTCTAGTGAGATTGAATTAGCTATGATTTCTAAGTTAAACTAGAGTATAATTGATGGGGTTCAAGTTACTAGGAAGCCTAGTCAAAGAAAATGATAGAAGTAAGAGGATGAAGAAGACTATCTGAGGAAGTGCTGAGTTTTCTTGTCTGTAGCTCTTCTGCCAAACTAAAATAAACAAACCCACTTCCATCAAGTGGATTGCAACCCAACAACCCTTTTAGGACAGAGTGAACTGCTCCATAGGGTTTCCAAGGCTGTAAATCTTTTTTTGTTTGTTTGTTTGTTTGTTTTATGAGAACAGATTTTATTGTCTCACAATTCTAGAGGCTAGGCGTCAGTGGGGGCCTGTTCTTTCAGAAGGCTGTAGAGGAATATATTGTATTTCTCAGCTTCTGGTAGCCCCAGCCTTCCATGGCTTGTAGCTGCAGCGTAACTCTGTTATTACATGGTTGTTTTCCCTCTGTCTGTCTGTCTCTTCTTCTCTTTTATAAGGATACTACTCCAGTATGAGCTCATGATACCTTAACATCTCCAAAGACCCTTTTTCCAAACAAGTTCGTTTTTACAGGTTACCAGGCATTAGAACTTCAACATAAATTTTTCTGGGGCATAAGTCAATCCATAATATCCATTTACATCCTTGATGCTACCTAGTCATTTCCTCCAAACTTAATGCCACCCCAAGGAAAAGTGGGGAGAGAAAATCCTGAATTGCCTGGGAGACACCTGAATTTATGGAATTTACCCTGAACTGAGTAGAATGAAAGCTTCCTAACAGTGAGTGCAATGGGGAACTTAGGTTAGAAAGTAAATTCAGTTATAGGAAAATGAAGTGTTAGTTATTTATTTTTCTTATGTACTTGAATATGAAGACAAAAATTTCCTTCCTGCTGAATAATCCTCCATCTTAAACAAAAATCAACCTTACTTCAATCCTGCTCTCCTCCCTGGAATTCTCCATCCGCTTCACTGTCATACTTCTTTTTTTTTTTTTTTTTAATTATGTGTGGGTGAAAGTTTGCAGAGCAAATTCACTTTCCATACAGCAGTTCACACACACGTTGTCTCATGACATTGACCACAACTTACCCCAATGCAACAGCTCCCCTCCCACTTCCTCCGGATAGTTACCTCTTCCCTGTGTCCATCCCTCCATGCACCCCTGCCCCTCTGAGCTGTCTCCCTGTGCATACACAGCCCTTCCATTCTCCCATGATTGATCTCTCCAAGGAGTGTATCTACCTAAAGTAAATGTTCAGCTCACATGCCTGTCTTTTGTTTGGCTGGAAGCCCCAGGAGTGGGTTCAATTCAAGACTTGAAAGGCAGCTAGGGGCCTTAGACTCAGTGGTTCCACCAGGCTCTATCAGACCAGCAAATCTGGTCCCCCTCCCCTTTTTTTTCCAAATGATTTTGAGTTTTGTTCCACATTGTTCTCCATCTCTACCCAGGATCTCCTACGTAGATCCCCTGCTGAGTGGTTGACAGTGGTAGCCGGGTACTATCTAGTTCTTCTGGTCTCATAGTCATATAGGCTGTGGATTGTATGGTGTACCAGTTGCTAGGACTAATTGTTTCCTTGAATCTTTGGTTTTCTTCATTCTTCTTTGCTCTGGATGAGGAGAGACCCATTGTTGCATCTAGATGGCTGCTTGCAAGTTTTTAAGATCCCAGTTGCTACTCACCAAAGTAGGAGATGGAACAATGTTTTGTGTAGTATGTTACGCCAGTTGAGCTTGATGTCCCCTGCGACTATGGTCCCGAGCCCACAGGTTCAACTACTCACTCCCTCTGGGTAGCTGGCTGTGACCAAGAAGTGACTACAACCTTACCCTTGTCAGCTCTGCTATACACCTGGAAATTCTTGTATGTGAAAAAAGGTTCATCTTTGTTGTCTCACCTCCCATGTACCTCTCTATGTTTTCCTCTTCCTTAATGCCACCATGCAGATCACTCACATTGGTACATTGCTCTTGTCTTCACACAAATCAATACTTATCTTTACCTATTTAACAGTGTTCCCTGTAAATCTTTACAGAAGCAGACTGGCTTATCTTTTTCCTATAGAGTGACTGGTAGGTTCGAAGCGTCGACCTTTTGGTTAACAGCTGGGTATCTTAACCACCATACCACCAGAGCATTTGAAACTGGTGATATGTAGAGCTGATTGAAATTTCAGATAGAAATCTCAATTAAACTACATGTGGCATGTATGGCAATCTCATAATAAGAATTAAAGTAGCTAATGCTGACTTTTTTTTTTATGAATCAGGGAATGGAGCTCAGGATAGTTAAGTAACTTCAAGTCAGCCAAGTGGTGAAACCCAGACCTGATAAAACCAGGCTGCTTTTTATTTTATTTTTAAAATAAAACTATACCATGTTTTTGTTTTTG